GAATAGAATCATAATTTGTAAGAATATTAAATTATAAATTCACATAAAATAATTATAAAAATTTTAGATAATGACACAAATGATCAAATTTATAAGATTATCAATCATGTAACTTGATAATAAAATTATTTATATTTTTAACTATATGTTTAAAATTTCAATCTTTAATATCTAGATAATGACACAAATGATCAAATTTATAAGATTATCAATCATGTAATTTAATAATAAAATTATTTATATTTTTAACTATATGTTTAAAATTTCAATCTTTAATATCTAGGTGCTAAAAAAAAAATTCAAATTCATAAGTTTAACAAAGAAAAAACAAATCTACTCAAAAATTGTTAGGTGTGTAGCTTCAACTTTTATCCGTTAAAAGCTGAAACAACTTTAGAGAAAAGTGAGAAACACACTTCAAAAATGACATTTGATTCTTTTATGCTGCGAATATCGAGTAAGAGCATCTCCAATGGCAGAGCCTTGCAGGGACTCTTTTACACATTACATTATTAGACTCGTACCATTTTATTCAACATATGAGACTTTTTACTCTGATGTTGAGTCTCATAGGGACTCTCTTAAATGCTCATATCATTTTATTCAACATACTTTTAAGAGATTTTCCACTCTGATGTTGAGTCTGGTAGAGACGCTCTTAAATGTGACATTATTATATTTATATTATTAATAATTTGTTAGTTTAAGTAAAAAAATTTAATTATCTTTAAATAAGATGTTAAATTTGAATCTTTTAAATAAAAAAAAAAACATTGAGAGGAAATCTTTTTATAAGATTTTACATGATTCAATTTTAAATTAATTAAAATATAATATAATTAATAAATATTGAAAAATTAATAAAAAAATTATTATATTCATATTATTTTATTCCACATATTCTTAAAAGACCTTTAAGAGGCCGCCTTTCTGGTTGCTCTTAGCGAACATGCGCTAAGCCGCTAACTGCAAAGTAAATAAAGTGAAGGGATGAGAAATTGAGGATGGTTGGTTTGTTAGAGGCCTGGGCCTAAATATGCAGTTGTTGCCTGGGCTTGTTGGGGCCCAAACAACGGGCCTTAAACCACTTATCACGTTTGCCCACGCTGAGCCCGGCTGCCCTTGAGCTTGAGCTGCATACGGGCCTAAAACGTTTAATGGTATCCTGGGAAATATGAAAAATCTTCTGGACAGCAGTAAGGCAACAAACTAGTGAAAATCTGGACCGAGAAATCCGAGCATATGTCTTCGGCATTAAAAATATCAACTTGTTTATTCACTGTCACAGAATAAATGATTGAGTCTCATGTATCATATGATTAAAATTAAATGCAGTGACATTAAATACTGTTATAAGGTCATAATTTTCCTTTTTTTAATCTGAATAATAATTATACTAACAATTTGTTAGTACAAATAAAAGAAATTCGATTTTTTTTAAAATAAAATCTTGAGTTTGAGTATTGTGAATGGAAAAATAGATCTTAGGAGAGTTTCTTCCTTAATGAGATCCTACATGATTCGATTTTGAATTAGTCAAAATCCAATATAGTTACTGGATATCGAGAAGTTAATAACAAAAAAATATGAATAATAATTATTAAATTTAATTTATAAAAAACACTAAGGGTCCGTTTGGTGCAGCTTCTTAAGTACTTCAGTTTTTTGACACTACTTATATTTTATAAGTTTAAATTTTTCTCATAAAAACTTACATTTAAAAATATTTTTTAACATTAAAAAAACCCTAAACAGTAAAAGATCGAAAGTTCAAATTTAAGTTTTTCATAAACTTTCTTCTTACTCACTTTTTATTCACTTTTTCTTATTTTTAAAATCAACTTTTAAATTTTTCATCCAATAAAAATTTAAATTTATCACTTATGAATGGTACAAAAAAAGTAAAAGTTCTAACAAGTTACACCAAACAGGCCCTAAGTAAGTTGAGTTAATCACCTAAATAACTTAATAATAATCCATTTTTATTAAAAGGAAGAGAAGTTAAGTTTAAGTTTTATGGTATGTAAGATGAGATAAAATATAAAAAGTAATTAACGACTTATTAATTTAAGTAAAAGGAGATCAATTTTTTTTAAATAATAACTCGAATTCAAATTTTATAAATAAAAAAATAACTACCAAAAGGAACTTTTTCCTTATGAACTTCAATTATTAGATTTCATGAAGTTTATATTAAAAAAAATAATAAAAAAATATTTTTTTATTATACCATCTAGATAAAGGGAAAAAAAAAAAAGCTTTAGGCGAAGACATGAAGTTGCCTTTTCATAGGAATGAGGGAAAAAAAAGGAGTTTTCATTGGACCAACCCAGCGCAACTCGGCAACTACCATCTGGGTGGAAGGAAGATATATATCATATATTCCAATCCAGAAACAGTAACTAGTTGTGCAACTGCTCCGGGTTTCGGTCTTTATGGATAGTTTCTGTTGGAGTTGGAGGCAGTTACATTCGAAGTGGTGTCTCTGTATCTTTGCCATCTGGTGACACTGATATAATC